TATTTTTAATAGAGATGGGGTTTCACTGTATTAGCCAGGATGGTCTCGATCTCCTGACCTTGTGATCCAGCCATCTCAGCCTCCCGAAGTGCTGGGATTACAGGCATGAGCCGCCACGCCTGGCCAACTTTTATTTCTTATCTATTGGAACTCAGCAGTTGGAGCCACATTCTTACGCTCATGTGTATAATAATTTTGTCTTAGTTAATAGTGTGATAACATAGTTATTTGTGCCTGATCTCTCCAATAGTGTAAGCTCTGTTCATGGACTTTCCCCTTTGAATCCTCCAAATAATTGGTAGCAGAAATTCAATATTGTTTTTTGAGTTGAACTGAATTGCTTCAATATCTTAGAATAACTAAATATCCAATATATTACCATTATTTTGTCTTTTACTCCCATTATGTTCTTTGTCTGAACAGTTAACTTTAACCCAAGCAGTAATGAAAACACAGAATTCTTCTCTACTGCAGTAACCATTACTCTGGTTTTTTTGAAAACTAAAGTTTTCATACTGGTTATCACCCATGATGCCTGGGGTTATAGGATTCCACTACCTCAGGAACCCCATCTGCTTGCAAAGACAGTCTGCTATTAAGCTCTTCTCACTCAAGGCAAACCCAACAGCCTTCAGACTTGACTTTTCCATAATGACCATCTTTCTTTGGAATATTCTGTTATTGTTTTGCCAATTACATTTGTTATTGTCAACTTGGACATTTTGAAGCCAACTGTCACCCTGTCTACCACTCCACAGTGAGCCAGCTCAGATTGAATCTTGGATGATGAGGGTTTCCTGTGCTTGGTCTATATATGTATTTCACAGGGAATACTGTGAGTTACCTGCCCTTGCAGCCTGTAGCTTTAACAATGCTATAAGCCTTATGAAAAAGTGAATTATTTTAATGTTTTCAGATGCTCAAAGCCCTACGTAAATGCTTTAAACATGATAACTCAAAGTAAGAAGCAACGTCTTAAGCCTCATGATGACATAACCAATAGTTTAACTAAAGGTCAAAAGGTGTAGAGGTTAACAGCAAGAAGAAGAGCAAGGAGAGTGGTGAAGGGCAGGTTAAGAATCAGGTGCACATCCTAGCCATGTGCCTCTTAGCGGTGTGACCTTGGAGAAGTTCCTTAGCATTTCATAATCTCAAATTTTACATCTCTAAAATGAGAATGGTTTTATTGTATGCTATTGTAAGGATTACAAGAGATATTTATATACGTGTATAACCACTTGGTACAGTTTCTACACAACTAGAACATAGAACTAGAGTATAGAAAATATTCAAGAAATGGAAGTTACCATCAGTATCTTCAGTGATGGGAGCTCATTTCTAATAAAAAGGAGAGTTATCCAGGTGATCTTGATAGTACTAACTATCCTGTGTTGATTTGTTTCCTATCTATGTATCCATCCATCCATCCATTCATCAGTCCACCCTCATCTGGGTAGCTCTATGGAGGAGACAGCAATGAAGATTCAGTGCAGAAGAGTGCCTCAGCTTACCTCCTATTGAAGATTAAGCAATGTGGATGGGAGAAGAGCATATTCTTTTAAATTGGGTCTGGCCTCAGACTAATAGCTAGAAATCAGCCACGTTCCTACTAGGATAAGTTACTTCACTGAGGGCTTTCCCAAAGTTAGCCACATCTCTTCATCCAAAGCTCCAGTGTATTTCTTTAACATGATTGACTTTATGACAATGACCAAGTCCTTGTTCTTCTGGGCCAGGATTCCTGTGCACCCTCAGAACCCATTCACTGGAATAAGCACACTGTGAAAGTTGCGACTTCTATGTGTCAGGCACTATGCTGATTATTCTCACAATTTACTCTTCATCTTCCCAACAACATTTGAAATTGTCATTAACTTCTTCACTTTATATGTGAGAAAACCTGAGATCAGAGGAGTCAGGTAACCTGCCCAAAATTAAGTCGTGGGAGGCTAAACCAAAAGCAATAGTGGAGATTACATCAGCTCAATTGTACCACAGTTATATGTTATTTAATGTCAGTTTTGTAAATAATAATAATTAAATGAATGTCTTTATTATAAAGACATTTTTAGCAGGACTCAGGGAAGGGGCAAGGTAGTACCATGAGCATGAGGTCCAGCTATCTGCTGGGAGAAAGATTTTGTGGGAGGAATTTATATCCAATAGAAGCTTTTGGCAAAGTCATTGAGAATGAGAATAAAAGAGAATTAGAAAACATACTGTGTTTAGACTTGCAAAATACCTTTGGAAAGGTTATCGTGTTTTTTCTGAGATGGAGCAATTATTTGATCTCGATGCTTTAAAAAAGAAACAATACAAGAATGTAAGGGCATTTCTATGGATTGTATAAACAATGCTGCCTGCAAGTAATCAGCAGTAGGGCCACACGTAGTTAGCATATTTATAAATCATCTGAAAGGAATACATGCTGAAATTTCCAGATTTGCAAAAACCACTAAGCTCTTCCAGGTAGTGAAATGCCAAACTGGTTAATATAAATGCAGAAAGCTAACGCAGGGCTGTGTGAGTGGGCAGAAGGATGCCAGATGGGCTTCTGCCTGGACAACTGTAAGATAAGGAATTTAGGGAAAAATAATTCAAATCATCCCTCCTAGATTAAAGGGCTTTGAACTACTAGCTATAACAAAATTAAGGGATTTTGTAGTCAGTGTATACTTTTGTCCCTAGTTATTCCTACTGCAGCTAAAAGGCTAGCTAGAAATCACATGTGCTTAGGAAGGACATTTTAAAGGGGTATTGAAAGCAGAAAACAGGATCCTGCATACATGTAAAGCCATGGTTCACTTATACCTGCAATATTGTGAGCCATTTTTTCAGCAAACCTTAAGCAGCTATAATAGGGTAGGAGAAAGTCCAGAGGATGTCAACTGAAATGATTTATGGAAAAGAGGAGCTGCTTTATGAAAACAAACTTACAAAGATTAGGATTCATCAGCCAGGGGAGATGAAGGTTTTATAAAATCATAGGGATGTGGTGCATGGGGACATTCACCTTGACTAACATTCACCCTCCTCATCATCAACAGGCATGGGTCAGAGGGTGGCTGTCGAAGGAATAGGGCATAGTGTGAGTTTAAAATATACATCAGTTTAGGCCGAAAGGCCCATAAGTTAACCAACAAATAGACAAATAAAAAGTCAAGGTAGATGAAATACTACACAGACATAAAAAAACTAAATCATGTCCTTTGCAGCAGCATGGATGCGGCTGAAGGTCATTACCCTTAAGTTAATTAATGCAGAGACAGAAAACTAAATATTGCATGTTCGCACTTATAAGTGGGAGCTAAACATTGAGTACTCATGGGCATAAAGATGGCAACAGTGGACACTGGGGATGACAAAGGAGGGGAGGGAGGAAGGGGACAAGGACTGAAAAACTACCTACTTGGGTATTATGCATACTACCTCGTGACGGGATCATTCATACCCCAGACCTCAGCATCACACAGTGTGCCCATATAACAAACCTGCACATATACCACCTACATCTAAAATAAAAGTTGAAATTTTAAAAAAATTCAAGGTAGCATGGGATGCCTGCCAAAGAAATGCTCTCCCTACCTTCTATCTTAAAACTTGAAAAGAGAAGAAAAAAGTTTACACATGCGGTAACGACTTTGGAAACTACTTACCCAACAAGATTATTCTATCTTGGGACTACCCATGGGTAGGGAAGAGGTAAACACATTTTTATGAATGGATTAAATATACAATATATTTTTAAGAAGTTGGTAATATTTGGAGAAATGCCCAAATTTTGTGATGTATACTTTGGAGTAGAACATGCTTTGGAATCAGGCAAATCTGATTCAAATCCCAGAGACACCACATGCTGGCTTTTGGGTAGGTGACTTAACCACTCCGAACCACAGTTTCTTCATCTGTCAAGTGAGAACTCCTTCCAGATAGAGAAGTTGGGAAGATTGAAAGCGGTGTGCCCCTGGTAAAGCACCAGGAATGGGGCTGAGGACTGAGGTGCTGCAATTCTCAGTTCCCTTTGAGAGCTCTTCTACCATGTGCCCTTTGCAACAAGGTCAGATTCAAAATACCATCCTGGGGAGGCTCTGAGTCTACCGCAATAGGCAGTCCTTCATTCTAACCGTATCCTGATGCAAGATGACTCTAATTTTGCAGCTCTCTATTACCATTCATTCTTTCATATTCATTAATCCCTTATTTTTTTTTTTTTAGTCATCCTTTTATGCTTTGGGGAAATAATGGTGATCAACATATGCCAGTGCCCTGCTCTCAGAAAGCTTGCCTGGAGAGGGTGGAACAAAACACAAACACTAAGCCTGTAAAGAAAGTGCTTTCAGAGCATGATATAATGAGGATCATCATGGAGAGCGTGTCAGGGGTTGAGGACATGGCTCCTTCAATAAGGAGATGGGAGAAGACCTTTCTGAGGAGACAGCACCAGAACAGTGTCCAGAACCATGAGAATTCCCTGGTTATTTGAAAATCTCAGTGGGGAGAGGGAGCGTTCCAGGCAGGTGATTGAGCAGGGGTAGAGGCCCCAAGGTGAGAATTAATGTGGAGCTTCCAATACCTAGAGGAGGCTGGCGTGACTGCATATCCTGGATGGAGGGAAAGAGACAGAGGGCAGCCTGTCCCCATTATCCCGAAGCCAAGTCCGGACTCAGATTTTATCCTGTGAGTTTTCAGCTGCTTATGAGAAGAGCTGGCTTCTATTCTGGCAAGGTCTTGAGACTGCTGCATTGGGAATAAGACTCTCAGGCAGCATGAGTAGAAGGAGAACCGTCCTCCCTTCTCTTTCTGCCCCTACTACTTAGCCACTCCAGGCTTCCCAGATGCTACTGCAATCTTTCTTGACTTCAACAGTCACACTGACGTCACACCACATCTCATGGTGCAAGGGTAACTGCACAAATCTCTTTTCACCCCACATGTTTTAGGACATAGAAAAATTATTTATTCTCCAATGAAATATTTAACCCAAATATATGTTGTTTCAGGTTTTAAAAATCAATTTGATTGGCCACAGGAAACGTATTTTGGCATCTCTGGGAGACAGGCTGCACGACGATCCCCCACAGAAGCCCCCTCGGTCCATCACCCTCAGGGTAAGTGCCAAGCACATTCATTTGGTTCTCTGCCCTTAAGAATTACTTGTTTGAGACCAGCCTGGCCAACATGGTGAGATCCTGCCTCTACTAAAAACAGAAAAAATTAGCCAGGTGTGGTTGTGCCCGACTGTACTCCCAGCTACTCCGGAGGCTGAGGCATGAAAATCGCTTGAACCCGGAAGGCGGAGTGTTGCAGTGAGCAGAGATTGCACCACTGCACTCCAGCCTGGGCAACAGAGTAAGGAAATAAAAGAATTATTTTGTGCAGTTTTATAGGTTTTATAAACATGCACTTTATACAACTGAAGCAGTAGATCAGCAAGTGCAGGCTCTTTTCTTTGTAGCTTACCGTATCTGTGTAAAATCAGTCTCCCTTTTGATTGTGTTTGACACAATCAAAACAACAAGGTTTGTTTTTCTAGATTAGTTAAATATATATTTTTGAGATTTAGATATCCATCTATAATGGAATTCAGCCTGACAAATCACCACCTTTAAAGAACCACTCCCTCACCTCCCATCCCACACCCCATTACACCAGGAGAGCGGAAATGAGTTTTCTGTCAGACTCCTCAAACCCACAGAAAGAAAATCGATCAAGGACCACAGTTAAGTAAAGAGCAATTTAAAATTAACCTTAGGGTCTTCTGTTTTTTCAAGAAGTAAAATTTGTCCAACTTTACCCACTTCAAAAATTCAGAATAGAGAATCTAAAACCTTACTTAATAAATGGTATTTCTTTTCTTCAACTACACTTTAGAATTATGAGGTAGGAGCCCAGCGTAGTGGCTCATGCCTGTAATCCCAGCACTTTGGGAGGCCAAAGCAGGCAGATCACGAGGTCAGGAGATCGAGACCATCCTAGCTAACACAGTGAAACCCAACTCTACTAAAAATACAAAAAATTAACCAGGCATGGTGGCACGCACCTGTAATCCCAGCTACTCGGGAGGCTGAAGCAGGAGAATCGCTTGAACCCAGGAGGCAGAGGTTGCAGTGAGCCAAGATCATGCCATTGCACTCCAGCCTGGGCGATAGAGCGAAATTCCATCTCAAAAAAAATAAATAAATAAAGAATTATGAGGTAGGAAACTAGAGAGAACCTGTAGAAGGGAGAGAGAAATAAAGGGGAAGTGAAGGAAGGGAGGGAGGAAAGGGCAGAGAGAAAATGAGAGAGATGATTTCCAGGCAAAATGGCAGTGGCAAGAAGTGGCTGGCAGTCACCAGTGTTCATGCGTCCTATAAGAACTTTTCTAAAATTCGTCAAAAAGCTGAGATCTCCCTGAAAGCTGTGGGGTGCCCGCTCTGCTCTCTTTATTTTGTCCTGCACTTGCTTGTTTCTGATTTCCTTTCTGAAGGGATGAATACAAGCATGCACCCAGACGTAACCGTCGTGATGAAATGCAGTGGCCTGCCTCTTATCAATACACTTCAGCAAACAACATAGCCACTGTCAGGATAACAGAGGGTGGGGCAGGAGAGGAGCTGTTAGGATTTGGAGTCTGATTCAGCTTTGGAGGAGAAGAAAATGCGCAAGGATTTCAGGGGATGCAAGAGAATTAGCTCCAGGAGGACGAGCTTAGCCTCCTGAGAGAGACTGGAGTGGGATGGGTAGGGACTACATGAATACTGGTTGAATTAATTACTGGGGGCATTAGGGTACACTGGGATATTTGGAGGTTACTTGAGAGTTTTGGGAGTCATAAAAGTACAAATAGAAATTTCATCCATTAGAAAGAGGAGCGTCAAATAAATTAGAAAAAAAAAAGTGATATTTGTTTTGCCTTCATTTTGCTACATGGAAGGAGAGAAAGATATAAGCACCATCAGTGTAGTCATCCTAAAATAACTCTTTAGAGAAGTAATTTCCTGCTACTTACCCTGCTCTTTTTCCTTCCCCTTCTGAACCTCTCATTCTGGCTCTCTGGAAGAGATTTAGGGGAACAAAAAAAGATCAAAGACAGAGATTTCCGAGAAAAAGTGTAGGACCTAAATCTATCACAGAAGGTCCAGAATATCTGCAGGAGAAGGGATCTGAAGAAACACCATGATCCCAATCCTGTTTTACTTGCAAACAGTAGAGCTGAGCTGTCTATGCCCCCTATCTTCCTCCTGACCTGTTTCCCTCGGATGGAGTTGTCTTTGCCTTGGAAAAGCATCCTCTGTCGTAGCATGCACTGCTCTGCAGTCTGTGCGTGTGACATGCTGTGTTGCCATACTGTGTCCTCTTCCCAACCCTGTTGTCAGACCATTCTTTGATGAAGGATCAAGACCCATTGGGTCCCATTTTAGCTTTCTCATCATGGCATCTACCATGGTGAGGACGCTCTGCCCACGCGAGGGCCCAGTTCCTTTCCTGTAAACACAAACAGTAGTGTCAGAGGTGCCCAACATAGGTGTGCCTCCCTTCTGAGACCATCCATGGTGCTGCTTTAGGAAAACAGAACCTGACTCTTGATATTTCAGACCTTTGACCTGAAATACTTAGGGGAAAAACGTATTGACTAGATTGTGCCATTAATAAAATGGTGGAATGTCATTCATTCCTTGGCTGTTGCTTCAAAAGCGACTCCCCACCCCCACAGTTTGTCTTGTCAGTATTTCACAATTTTGAAACCAAAGGTTAGCCACGGAACATGGTATTTATTTCATGATGTATTTCCATTCAGGAACCCAGTGGTAATCACACTCCTCCTCAGTTGTCTCCATCACTTAGCCAAAGCACTTACACCACTGGTGGCTCCCTAGACGTTCCTCACATTATCATGCAGGGCGATGCAAGGAGGAGAAGAAATGAAAACTACTTTGATGATATTCCCCGATCAAAACTGGAGAGGCAGATGGCTCAGGTAAGGTGTTATAAGCCTTTGTGATATCTTTTTCAACCATATCAGGTAATGCCTTTTAATATTGAACGGTAGCTTCCTATGGATGCTTATTGCCCGTGCCTAAGTAGAATTTATACCATTTTATGCCCCGCCTTTCATTCCTTGCTCATCTGAACTAGACTGAGACAGAAATGTCTGGGAATGGAATGTGTACACATGTTCTTGTTAGGCATTCCTGCTGAAGAAATTATGTCTGATCTCATTGCACCCAGAAAGTCTTGCCCAGGGAATAATATTGTGTCAAAGTAAAATCATAATGAAAATGAGTAATAAAAGTTTAGAATACAAAATGTAAATTGGTTGGATAACGGGGCAGAAGTTTGGAGGGAAGGATTACCCCTGTGTGATGTGGTTAATTTCCTCCCAAAGCTATACATTCATACAGAAATGCTCTACTGGGACTAGTTGCATTGTCTCATATTGTCACCTTGAATAGTTGAAAATAGTGATGCTTTCTGGCACAAATAATTGAAAAGGGAGATCTGTCACATTCGGACCTTTCCACGTTTTTGGTATGGATGTTCATGTCTAGCCTGTCCTCGGATTGCTGCTTAGAAACTTGAGTCAGCCTTAACCGAACAGTGGCGCTGTTCTTAATGCACATTCAGATGGGCGGGTAGCTCCGCATTTTGCCCTGAGATGCAAAAATATGGATTTGTTGTCAACTATCGGCAGAATCAACTCTTTTCATCCTCATTCTAGGTTCAGACTGATGTGCAGGAGTCTTCTCTCTGCCTCCCACACCTAAGATGGGAATCTTGAGGTGAAAATTTGACTGTAATTGCTTTGCCTTGGTTGTTAAATATTTTTCTCAACTGTTTAGTGAGATTTTATTTTTAAAGCCACTGGTAAACATTGTATGCTGCAGCTCACGAGAGACAAATGTGAAGAGAATGTTCTGGAAACCATGGCTATTCTGCCTGCAGTTGCCTTGGGGAGAGAAGGCCTGGGATACTGTGTCTTCTTTCAGCTCCTTTAATTTTGAAATGTTCTCTGGGTTATTTGTGCAGGAAATGGCAATGCTGGGATTATGGAGAATCTTTTATTGAAAGGGGATGGAAAATACAGGAGAAACAAGATAAGAATAATTTTCTCTTTCTCTGTTGCTAGGTATTGTCTTTTAATTTTTATTACTGTTTTCACTGATGCTCTTTTAAATAGGGCCTCTGAAAGCTTTTTTCCCCCCAAACTTTTCATTTATTTCCTGTTACTTATTATATTTTCGAATCACATATGTGGTTAAATTTCCTTAATGACAACATTTCAGAGATGTGGTTTGTTTTAACCTTGAGCCATGTAGTCTTTACGTATTAATATAAACTGGGTCTTTTCTGAGCCCATTTCTTCCCTGGGTAAGGGAGGATAGTTCTTGAATGAGCATTAGCTATTATTGACTGTGTCAACCTCAGTATAACAGAATTACCTCTCTCAGCTGCTCGCATAATTTATGAAATTTCTCCATATACTGCAGGAGTTTTTTTTAAGAGGACTTACCCTTCAACCTATGTATAAACACTCAGAGGTGACCTAGCAAGACTGCACCCTTACATGCTGCCTGAGGTTCGCAAGCAGGGGCAGTAGTATCAAATAGCAAAAATCTTTTAACGAGTCACTCCAATCAGAAATGCATCCCTTACGAGAATTGTCTTAGCCTTGGGAAAATGGTATGGGCTTTTATCTGGCCAGGTGAGAAAAGCCCAAAAGCAGAAAGCAGAGTGAGATAAGCAGGCTGATGGGACGTGGTGAACGAGAGCACCTGTGCACGCATGCATTCCCCTCACGTGGAGTACTAACGATGATCGAGTGACTGCTAGAGACACAGGCTCCATCAGCAACCGGGAGCTTATTAGAAGCTTTCTAAAAGCCTGCTGTTCAATACAGCACTTTTGCTGCAGAGAAAATAGGAGATGACACCACATGAATCTGATCAATAAGAAAAAGGGATTCTGGAACTGCAGCTCTTTGGGTGATGTTAATTGCAGTTTTGAGCATGATCACTAGTCTGGCAAGGCCAAAACCCATGGAGCAATGAATGCATACCTCTTAAAAAATAGTGCTTTAACCTGTCGAAATATGAAATACTCTGTCATTTTGTTGTTGACCAATTCAATTTATGTGACTTTTCCACCAGTCAACCACTCAACTGATGGTTTTTTTTTATTATTATTCTATCTTATTTTTGGTCATTTGCTGTAATACTTTTTGAAATTTATTTACTTTTTTAAAAACCTGTCATATCTCTCTAGACCATACTTTTTCCCCTAAAGTTTTGTGTTTAGGCAATCAAGTTGGGTCTTCCTAAAGACTTGAATTAGCAATTAAAATTCTTGCAAGCAAGCAGCCAGTTATACCTCCTTCCAACCTGGAGCTCCATTCCTACAGTTCTTTCCCAAGGGGTTTCTCCCAAGAAGCTTACTGTAGCTTGGTTAATGCTTGCCTAACCAGTCCGTTTCCCACTAAAATGGAAAAGTCCTCCTTCAGTCTTTCTTTCTTACCTACCAAAAGAGAGAAGAATGCAGTTGAGAGAAAATCACCAGGACACATTTATGTTCTTAGAAACCCCTCTACTTCAAGTTTAACTGAGCTACCACTAGAGTGATTTGGAATTCTAGCCCTAGGCCAGAAACCTTAAGTTCCTGGTGGCTGCAGTAATTCACAGGAGTTTTGCCTTCTTGAGGTCTGCTTACCAGATGTTTGGAAGTGCTTTGCTTAACTTGGAAAACCAATGCTTAACATTAAATTGAGGTAAATTTAATGTCCATTTTACCTGTCAAATTTGTTGGCAGATATTTAAAATAAAACGCTAGAATGATGTTTAATTGATTGTTTTCAATTTGAAACAATATTTAAAATACCTGTGTTGGAATACAGAGGTTTTGCAAATATTGTGAGTATTGTTTGCTATTATTCTGATATAAGCAATACTCTGGCATCAAATTATTTTAAATGAATATGCAAGAAACAAAATTGAGTTCAGCATGAACTGAATGTAATGATAGAAATACATCTGAATGATGGGTTTCCTATCATGTTGAAGACATAGCTTCTCCAGCCTGTAATTCTAAACTGGACTCATTAGCCCAAAAGTTCTGAAACACTCCTCCATTTCCATACCCCTAATAAATAAATGTTGCATTCAGATTTGTATAATTATACCGTAATGTGCATAGTGATTTTAAATTCTCAAAGTACTTTGACATCTGTTATCTCATTTTAGCACAAACAAGGTGTCCAACACACTATTCATGTGCATACAGCACCTGGCAGATCAGCTTTTAATTCTGAGTTATGTGGAAATCAGATAGTAAATGGAAAATATATCCAAAGGAGGAAAATATTTTCAGTATTTAAGACCTAACTGCAATCTTCAGAAGTGTTCTTGAATGATATTTAGAAGTCTAAGTACGCTTAAAATGAACAATAAGAGAGTGATGGAATGAATAAGGTTAAGTCCACATTCTCCAAACTCAGGCAAAAAAACAAAAAAAACAAAAAAAACAGTTTCCAAATGCTGCAAGTTAAGCCATTTATAGAAGGCTTCCATTTACAGAAATACATATGAGAAAATGAAATAGTACTTGTATTTTCACACAACAAAGGCTTCTCAACAGCAAAAGAAATGCATATATTTGCATAAACTTTAACTTAAATATTAGTGAGAATAGTGTATAATTTAAAGTCTTTATGTTCTGAATGCTCTTGTTTAAGATTACAAAAAAACAGTATTACCTGGGGCACTAAAAACTTTTTCTAAATTATTAGAAAATTAATTCAGTTGCAAGCTTAATATTTCTCAATCTAAATAGTATTAATAAATACAACTAGATCAATTACTTCTCTATTTGAAAGCATTTTGTATATTACATTTTCATTCTTCCAATGTTTGTTGTTTTGATACTATTAAAGGAAAGGAAGTAGAAGCTGAGCCATACAGAAGCACTGCTATGACCAGGTTCATGCCTGGGATTGCACATGCAGTATCTTATTTAATCCTCACAAGAGCCTATGTGTACATGTGCCAAGCAGGGTGAGTGCTTGGCCTCACAGCTGGTAAATGGCAGAGCTGGGACTCAAGCCCTGGCCTGCCTAACCCTATCCTTGTTCCTCTGTAGTCCCTGATGCCCTGTGCCTGCCTCTGTATTCAAATGATATAAAATATTTTTAAAACAGTTCAGCAAATTCTTATTTCCCATGTGCTGTAATAGATTCCATTTGTGTAGGCACAGCAAGCAGAAGATAAAATCACAGTAGTTTAATGGAAACTGATTGAATCAGCTCATGGTTAACACCATGAAATCTTTAAATGCAAAACTACCCTGGTTATTTGTTGATCCTTCAGCAGAGACCCTGCACAGTGTGTCAGAACGCTGCCTGTCTCCCATGTTTGTGAAAAGCTTTGTAGGTAGGTGTGGGGTTAACTCTGTCTACAAACAAGTTCTTGCTTGTGGTGTTTCTCCAAATAGTCGATGCTGTTTCCTTCGTGGCTTCTTCAGTTGGAATTCTGATTTGGTTTCTTTCTGGCTGTGTGACCTGGACCAAGTTGTGTGGTGACTCTGAATTTCAATTTTTTTGTCTTTAAAATGTGGATGATGTCTGCTTCTCAGGCTGTATGTATCAGATAATTTATATGAAAGCATATTCTAAACTGTAAAGCACTATATAGACAGATATGACTACCAGTTCAGACACATCATCTGTCTGTCCCTAATTCAAAGGTCTCTACTCATTGTAGGCCAATTGATGACAAAGAGTTGAAGGGCAAGTGCTCCGGTGGTTGTAGCATTCTATAAAGACCATCTTTTGTTTCAGTGTTACCCATATTTAGCATGTAGATGGAGAATGGAATTTGCATTTTTCTTTTATTATTTTAATTGTGTAAACACATCATCTGCCTAGGAGCATATATCACGATGCAGAGGGATCCGGGTAGAATGATCTCAAAGCCAGGGAAAGCAGAGGAT